CGCAGTTCTCTGAAGATACGCCGTGTCGGCCTTTGAGGCCCCCACACTCCTTCATGCTACCGTTGTTCTATTTGCGTTTTGAGACAGAAAAACATTTATGAATTGCAGTGAGGTGGGGGGAGGTGCCCTAGTTACAGTATGCCACATTTCTCGAGAACCCTGACCGTGATTTTCCTAAGGCAAAGATGAGCGAGTCCACAACTCAGAGAAACCAAAAGAATTCATCTTCAAAAACCCTGTCCTGGGTTAAGTTCTTAAAAAAAAAAAAAAAAAAAAATTATTGTAGAAGCCTTGACAGTGAGTGGCCCCTAATGTTTTTGAACTTTGGGGGAATTGAAGGTATTGTGTTTGGCAACAGAACGTTGTAAAGCTTGTGGAGTTTTTAGTAGAAACTATTTCATGATCTGAAAAAGGGAAATCTTTCTCATTTCCCAGCCAACAACAATATGTATATCCTTATTACCGCATGCCTTTGTGAGGCTTCCTAGGCTACAAAGAGGCTGCCCACTGTATGATGTAGGAAGAATGATTTTCAGAACGTAAGGAAAGGGAGGGTTAAGGTGGGAGGAGGCCAGAGGCCGGGGTCACTGTCCTGCTTGGAAATAGCCGTACCCTACATTGCTAACTAGTTTTTATTCTCTCAGCATCTGGGACTGACCTTATTTCTAAGCCATTTATGATTATGGTCCACCATTAAAAAGGCCGTATGCATAGCACTGGCTTTATTTCAAAGCTGATTTTTATAAATTGTAAGCCTGCCAGTTTACTTTAATGTTGATTTTTTAAAAAAATATTTCAATTTATTGCACATTGGAAAAACGTATGAGTTGAATGCAGCCTTATTACATAATGGTAATACAGTTTTATGAGATGAAAACTGTTACCTATTGCGGGCACTGTATGTTGGATAATAAATCAAATAACCGTAAAAGGATAAAAAACTAAAATTAATTTATTCTGGAAAAAATATCCAGGTTATTCGAATTACTCTGAAATGCGTGCGTTCTGGTCATTTGTAAGACAAAAAATAAAGGTCATTCTCAGAGAGAGTTAATGGATTGTTAAAATTAGAAAAATTGGGGCGCCTGGGTGGCACAGTCGGTTGATCGTCCGACTTCAGCCAGGTCACGATCTCTCGGTCCATGAGTTCGAGCCCCGCATCAGGCTCTGGGCTGACGGCTCGGAGCTTGGAGCATGTTTCCGATTCTGTGTCTCCCTCTCTCTCTGCCCCTCCCCCGTTCATGCACTGTCTCTCTCTGTCCCAAAAATAAATAAAAAACGTTGAAAAAAAAAATTTAAAAAAAAAGAAAAATAAATACCAGATTCTTCGTTAGTGATCTTTGTTAATATGATAGCACGATATTCAAGAAGTGGGGTCCTGAACTGAATCGTGTTCTACCAAAGCAATTTATATTTCAATCTCAAGTTACAGCTGCACATATTTTCAACACATATTGTTTTAGTCCTTATAACAATCATAAGAGCTAAAATGTTATAGCTAATTAGTGAATTTCTCCATTCATTCAATGTGTACTGGGCACATATTTTGGGTTAGAGTTCTACAGCGAAATCAGTTAATCTTGCCATTAAGTCCTCAAACCATAATTGGTGGTAAACTCAAATGGGTTGGTTGGTGCTGAAGTGAAGGGAGGGTTCTCAGTGCGCATTAGGGAGTGGTGGAGACTGGGGCGCTAGGACGTATATGTTCTTCTGTGTAAGGGACAACTGATAGCTCAGCTCTCGCTCGTGCTGCCTTGATGTGGGACTCATGGTTGCCAGATTTTCTAGTTTTTCAAGAGAATTCTTTATTTTTGATATTGGAAACTTATTTTAAAAAATTAGGGGCGCCTGGATGGCTCAGTCAGTTAAGGGTCTGACTTTGGCTCGGGTCATGATCTCACAGCTGGTGGGCTCGAGCCCTGCGTTGGGCTCTGTGCTGACAGCTCGGAGCCTGGAGCCTGCTTGGGATTCCGTGTCTCTCTCTCTCTCTCTGTCTGCCCCTCCCCTGCTCACACTCTGTCTCTCTCTGTCTCTCAAAAAATAAACAAACATTAAAAAAACAAAATAAGAACCACCGTGACTGTAGAAAATAATGCTGCTGGCCAGATGCAGTAGCATCGGGCTGCAAAGAGAGTGGACTAACCGGGTAATTATGCTGCGGGGTGGAGAGGAACCCAGGGTGCAGGGGCGGTGCCAGGGAAGCACGAAGGAGAGGTGTCATCCCAGATTCAGGGAGAGCCCAGAAGAACTTTGACAGATGGTGGGCCAGGCGTGGCAGATAGAGTCACAGTACACGTAGGAAGGACCCAAGACAAAAGAGGGGCGGTCACTGAGCCAACTGCAGGTGGAGACGGCTGCCGTGGTTTGGGATCCAGTGGTCTGCCTGGCCGATGGGAGGTGGCGCCCATAACTGCTCCTCTCTAGCGGGCTCCTGTGAACAGCTGCTGGGGGCCTGGTTTCTTGGCCTGAGGACACAGCAGCGTAGGTTTCCGTGATCTGGACAAGGAAGCAGAGGGCGTGTGCGTTGCCGCGCCCCTTGGATCTGCCCCCGTTAGCGGCTGGCCAGCTAGGACATATCGTGTGAGTGAGTTACCCTTCGTTCGAATGAGCAGGCCGAGCAGCTTGACTTGATAAGCAGCCCCTTTCCGTGCCGCCGAGCACAACGTCTGCCAGCTCTGCCCCTGAGGCGCCTGTGCCTTTGTTCTGCTTGCCTGGGTCTCCCAGCCCTGCCGCTCTGTTGGGTGCTGTTGATGCCGCCGGTGGGGCAGAAGGGCCAGACTCCTCGAATACAGTAAACCAGGCGTCATTAGGCTTTTCCTCATCGCTTAGCGATAGCCAGCTTCTCTGCACACGTTTCGCGAGAATGGTGGCTTGGTGGTTAGTAGGCCCTATCTGGTCTGGATTGTTTCGGCAAACTGTGAAAACCCATGATCCCGGTCATTTGTACGTCTCGTGGCTGATAAGTCATCTCCAAATAAGCAGAACGCTGAAGTCGTTTTCCGTCTGGGCCAGACCCCGAATGTTCAGAAGCTAAAAGCCGTTTCAGTAAATACCTTTTTATTGCCTTGTTTTTATTTTAAATATCATTCTTTGAACACTCGCTATTTCGTTACGTTTTCCTTCTTTTTATGAACGCCGAAGCATTTCACAAGGTATTTCGCTTTATTCCGGGAAGTGCAAAGTCACACTTACAACACCCTACCAGCTAAATTGTTTCCAAACAGCCCTTTGCCAGGCTAGGCTAAAGGGTGCTTAGGAGATGTCCCTGCCCCTGCTAAGCTATGAGCTTCCTCAAAGTGCACCTTTGTACTGTCCTGCCCCAACTTGATATTGCCTCCTTTCAAGCACCTAATAACCGTTTAATCAAAGCGTGCTGAATGAGTACATCGTTACATGTGTTATTTGGTTATATAGTTTTGCTTTTGTTGATCAGTTTTGCTCAGGCACTCCTACTGTGCCAAATGACCATTGGGTGCCACGGCGTATGATGATCTAACCCTGAGTCAACCTGGCAGGGTGGCCGCGAGCCTCGCTTTGGAGTTACCAGGCGTGAACTCGATTCGGTTTTCACCTTTCTATCACGTGTCCTTGACCCCTGGTCTTCTCTCATATCGGGTGGGAATAAATATCTACTTTACAGTGTGGGAGTAAGGGAAAAAATTATACTTTTCGTAAAGCCTTACCGCAACCCTCAACATATAAGTGCTTAGTGCAGACTTTGAATTGATTCTTAGTGTTTGAATGTTTTCTGCAGACCTGTGGGTCTAGAGATCTAAAGCATCACCAGCCACCGGATTGTGGCCATCTGAATAATGTCGCCTGCCTGTCTAACAGGTTACAGTCTTCAAGAACTGTCACACGCATTGGATCATATGGCCTCCAATCATAACGTCATCGACAACAGTAATCATCGCTAACACCGATGCAGCACTTACTAGAAACAGTTTGTATCAATGAACTTTCCCCGGAAGTGCTTTTTAAGTGCTGTTAAACTCACAGGAAGTTCAGGAGGTGTTGTCACTGTGCCCTATGTAGAGATGAGGAAACTGAGACTCAGATTAAGTAACTTGTCCAAATTCACACGCTAATGAGTGACCTTGGCAGGAACAACTGCGGTAGTAATGACATCAGCCCCAGTCATCCGCTAAGCGTCTGTTCTGTTTTAGGTGCTGGGCTAAGCGCTTTATAAACATCATCTCCAGTAATCCCCACAACTCCCCTGTGAGATAGGTTCTGTCGTTATGGCTATGTAGCTTCAAAGTGACATCGCTAAGAAACGGGACTGAAAACCCACGCGTTCTGGTTGCCAGTTTCCCCTAAGACCAGGGTGTTTTTACCCGTGTCGGGCTCACGTGCAGAAAACTGTTTGAACCTGGATTTTGGATCATCCCCAACTGCTGTCAGAACAGTCGACCCAGTCGAAATTATTTCCCAGCCCCTTGGTATAAAAAAAAAACCAAGCTAAGAGAGAAGTCACAGAAAAGAGAAGTGACATATTCCAACAGCACATTTCAATCTCTAGCTCCTGGAAACCTGGGGAAAAAAAAAAAAAAAAAACTGCTCACATTTTTTAAAGTGAATTAGGGTTTGTAGAGAGAAAAATCCTCCTTCAGTCCTGCCTTCTAGTCCAATGCACTTAATACCCCATAGATATTATGAGATAGTAATAAGATCTATCTGAGATGGAATGTTTATTCTCGTTCACCCCAGAATATGTGCAACCACCTCTCACCTGTTTTCCACAACACATTCATCGTTTTGTGCTTCTCCACGCATTTAATCCAGCAAACATTTGTGTGCCTGTGTGTGCCAGGCAGTATTCTAGGCACCGGAAATACAGAGAGCAATGATGCGTGCTTCCTATTTTCAAGGAACATACAATCTGGTGAGCGAAAATAAGCATAACTGCTAGGCCATACGATCGGTACGGTGCATGGAGGCAAGAAAGACCTCTAGGGCCACAGGGAGCAGATCTCTTCAGTGTGCTTGCTTGTGGACAGCATCTCAGCAGGGTGACAGTTGACCTGGTTCTTGGAGGGATTGAGGGGGGACGTCTGTCAAGACCAAAGTTACAGTCTGTGCAACAGGGCAAGACCACGGGCGTTCAGGAAGAACGTGGCTATTGGGCTGTGGCACAGCCAGAGGGTCATGAGAGCAGTGACCAGGCAGGCAGGCCAGCAGGTGAGACTGTAAGGGCCTAGGTCCAGGCTGAGGAGTTTAAAGGATAATTTGCAAATGTAAACCCACTCAAGCTATTCAGTTTAGCATATGTGTTGGGAGAATAACACAAGTCAGCACATAGGCTATAGTTCCATTCAGTTTCTACCTTAAAAAATCTAAAAAAAAAAAATCTGTCTTTCTGAGGCACAAATCATAGTACTGTAGTTAATTTTGCTTTTTCCTTAATAGTGTTTATGTGATTTTTATCTCGTCACTTCTTTTAATTTGTAGACTTTTCAAGCAGGACTCTGCAGTTATCTGTTTGCCTGAAGAACATTATACATGTATTTTTTTCATTTACTTCATGAACAATGAAATACTTACACTACAAAGAAGTTATAGGAAACAGAGGGGGAAACGTTCAGCCAGGATGCCACGATATGAAGGAACCTAACCGTTGATGGTGTCCTGGCTCCTTTCTTATTTTTTTAAACTTTTTTTAAGTTTATTTATTTATGAGAGAGAGAGAGAGAGAGAGAGAGAGAGAGAGAGCATGAGTGGGGGAGGGGCAGAGAGAGAGGGAGACACAGAATCCGAAGCAGGCTCCAGGCTCTGAGCTGTTGGCACAGAGCTCGATGCAGGGCTCGAAGTCACAAACCGTGAGATCATGACCTGAGCCGAGGTCGGACGCTTAACCGACCAAGCCACCCGGGCGCCCCTGGCTCATCTATTTTTGTACATAAAACAGGTGTATCTTCTGAATCATATTGCCATGACTTCTCACTTGGTGTGCATGGCAGTGATCGCCCGGCGGGAAGATGCTAAGTATTTGTGTTCCACCCCCAGCAGTGGGTACGGTATCCCAGTATAGCGATCTGTCCAGACCAGTTGCCTGATTGTGCTGTACTCTGACTCTGTCAATCTCTTTTCTTCTCATGTTTTGTGTAAATGCACGGGTATTTATACCCTCTTTTCCATATTAGCTAAATCCGTACGGATTTTATGCTACTACTTTTAAAAATTAGCACATTTTTAAAAATCAGGACCATGTCGAAAAAGAGATAACCTGAAGCATACTTTTTAGGGAATGTGAGTTTATCTCATCCCAATCCCGTGTCTGCACAAGCAGGAAGCCGCATGGTTGGGTAATTGCTGGGTCATTCTGAGATATGCAAGGAGGAAAAAAGATGTGACCAAAAAGCTAGAAAAGCAAAAGCGAACAAACAAACAAAAACACCCCACAACACTTGGAATTCGCTCAGAATGGGTCATTCATTCAGCAAACGTGTAAATGATTCCTTATTGCCCCGATAATTGGACCTACTCAGGCGACGGGGGTGACCTTGTGGGTTGTTGCTGTCCCGGCTTGTTCAGGCTAACCCCTGGCTGGCTGCTTGGCCAGCAGTGACACGGCCACCCGCCTGGCCCCGCTCCACTTCCTTTGTTGTTGTCGTTACTGTCTTTCTTGAGGTCTTTGGCCCACAGTTCTGGTTCTCTGCCCTGGTTTGTTTGTTTGTTTCTTTTTTTTAATTAATGTTCATTTTTGAGAGAGAGAGAGACAGAGACAGAGTGCAAGCATGGGAGGGGTAGAGCGAGAGGGAGACACAGAATCCGAAGCGGGCTCCAGGCTCCGAGCTGTCAGCACAGAGCCCGACGCGGGGCTCGAACCCATGAACCGTGAGATCATGACCTGAGCCGAAGTCGATGCTTCACCGAGTGAGCCGCCCAAGAGCCCCTGCTCTGATTTCTTTCTAAGTGGCCTGATTGTCTGCTCTGGGTGTCTGTTAGTTTTAGAAGATTCCACTTGGAAGGGAAACTGAACCCTTGCTTCTCTACCTGATGGATGGAGCCACCAGCTGAATGTTCACTTCTTCTTTTTTTTTAAAAAACATAAATCTCTTCTCTTGACGTTGTGTGGACCTGTAAGAAAGGCAACCCTGTTTGTTGCTACATTTTAGGTCATTTCTCGCAAAGATGAAGAGGTTTGGTTTACCTTTTGTTGAAAGGTAAATGCCTCCAATTTCATCACTTGTGAATGATTTTTAGGTGTTTTAAAATAAATGCTTATTATTCTGCCCGGAGATTACCTTCACTGTACTGGTTGGAGGAGGAACTCACGCATGCCAGACATTGGCCGTGTCGGCTTCTTAGTGGAGCTGAAGCCCCACCATCCAAGCGTCACGACTGTGTTGCCGGGGATAGTGACGCAGGGACACGGGAGCCAACCCACCTGGGTGTGCTCCCTGCCCTGCCTCTTACTAGCAGTGTGGCCTAGTGCAGTGTGATCCAGCCCTCTCTGAGCCTCAGTTTCCCCATCTCTAAAGCGGGGATAATGACGGTATCTCCCTTCTGGAGTACTTCGGAAGGTAAATGAGCTAATGCGCCGAAGACAGTACCTGGCGTAGAGTGGTTAGCACACGTTTACTGTTGTTTTACCCCTATTATTCATTCCCCTCTTGGCACTGACCAAACCCATCTCCATGGCGGTTTATATAGTCGCTGTTTGAATATACCTCTCTGCTGGGTGGAGTAGTTTGGACACTGTCGAGGCCTGGGTAGAAAATAAAGGCATGTGTGGGGGCTCCCGGTTGGCTCAGTCAGTAGAGCACGTGGCTCTTGATCTTGGGGTTTTAAACGCGAACCCCACAGTGGATGTAAAGACTACTTCAAAAAATAAGATATTTTTTAAAAAAAGAAGAAAATAAAGTCATGGATAGCCCAGGAATTCGGAGCCAGAAAGAATTTTGGACCAATTTCAGAAGGACAAAGCTTTCATTCTCCCAACCGAAATTGTTAAAGGCTTACCTATTGTTTGTCTGTGTATCTTTTACAGAGCGATTTCCTTTAAAACATAAATAGTATTACCTAGTATATCTATTAACGGTAAACATTCTAGGGTAAATACAAGAACACGGTGACCAGTGTTATTCCGGTTAACTAGATCTTCTTGTCTTTTAGAAAACTCTTCAACAAAAGGGAGCCATGACTTTCAAAGCGCACCTGGGACAAGAGAGGGCATTCCGCACCGTTGTGGTTTTACTGGCCTATTTGGTAAGTCAAGTCTTTACTTTCATAAGAAGGTGGGAAAGAATCGCTATAAATCGTATTGAAACTGTTTTGTTTTTTCCAGTGCCATCTTCTCAATTTTTCCTTCAAATTGTGTTTTGTCAGCGTCGCGTGTAATTAAGAAGCAAAGATTGCTGCCGAGTCTTGACATTTGTACTGATGGTTACAATTATTTTCTTCTTTTAAGTTTATTTATTTATTCTGAGACAGAGTCAGCGTGAGTCGGGGAGGGGACAGAGAATCCCAAACAGCCTCTGCATGCACTGTCAGCACGGAGGAACCCCAGGAGGGGCTCGAATTCACAGAACCGTGAGATCATGAGCCGAAACCAAGAGTCGGACACTTAACAGCCTGAGCTACTCAGGCACCCCTAAAATTATTTTACTACATTTAGATGAAGCAATAAAATCACAGCGTAACTTATAACCAATGACAATGGTGCGCCCTCGGGTTTATAGGCAAATGCCTCTACAATACACCCTAGACCCTGACGAGACCAGATTCTAATTGGAGTTCATGACTTCCATGGTGTGTGTGTGAAGACACTAGAATTGACTTTCAAAAGAGCTGTTATTTTTATACGGTTACTTATATCCTTCTTGGTCCCAAAAAGGACTAAAGACAGTTGGAGAGTTTTAATGTTTGAAAACTTGACGCAAAGACCTATAAGATGTTCACAAGAATTGAAATTCGTTAAATCTGGAGATAGGATCATCACCTGCAAATGTGAAAAGACTTATTTACCCTGAAGACAGTACCTGAAGTCTTCTTGAAAGACAAAGTGAGGGGAAATGGGTCACATTGGATTCTGAGGTTCAGGTACGGCAAGGAAAATTTCCTTTCTTTCAGCTGGGGCTGTTAAACGTTCGAATGACTGGTCTAGGAGGGAGGTCGTGGAATTTCTTTCGCAAAGCCATTGCAGTCTCTTTGTGGTGGAATGGAGTCTCATACCTCTCTTAAATAAAATCAGACTCCTTAAGATGGGTAGTCAAGGGGAGTTAAGAGAGGCGGGAAGATATTATTAGGCCTTTAGCCCCAGATCATTTTCTAGTGCTGAACTCTGCCTTGAATCCTCCCCTTCTGCCTGCTCAAGAGGTTCAGGCTTTGATTTTATTCAATTAGTTTGCAGGACATCATTGTAGACACTCTCGTGTCAAGGTGGAGGCAGTTTGTACTAAATAATGGCTCATTATTACAACCATCAAAAACAATTTCCGATACCCCTGTGTGTGACAGGCATTCTACAGAGCAACAGTCTGCTTGCCCAGTGCTTCTTACTTAGAAAAGGGAATAGGCCATTCATTTAAAAAAAAAAAAAAAAA